CGGCCGTCTCGCTCGTGCTCCCGCTCCCATTCCAGCTGGGAATGCTGCCCAGCAGCTCTTCCCACTGCCCTGCGGTAGCCCGGACCTGACAGCGATGCAGAGGGAGCAAAACTCCCCGGGCTGTGGGGAGAACAGGGAGTCGGGCAGCTCTGCAAGGCGGGATATACCCTGTTCACCTTCCTACATGGTGGCAAGGGGCAGGAAAAGCCCAATGCAGGGGACTGGTTTGTGCATCTGCACCTCCACTCTCCCCACATTCAAGCACCCGTCGCATTCAAAGCTCACTGCTTTACCTGGGGGTGAAAAAGCAGCGGGGAGGGTCGCAGGTACTTCTCCTTTAGGGCCCCCACAGGGTCTGTCACCTTCCGCTTCTCCACCCTGCTGGACAACAACACAGAGGGTTACATACCCCACGGGTTACACACGGACCTCGCGAGCTATACACTGACCTCGCGGGTTGTATACAGGCCTTGCAGCTCATATACCAACCCCCCGAGACATATACAGACCTCAGGCGTTATATACTGACCTCACAGGTCATATACAGACCTCACGGGTTATATACTGACTTCAGTGAGGAGCTGATGGGAGACTCCAAAGTGACTTAGGCACGTGAGTTCTTCCAGTGTCATTTAGCACTGTTAAACATCCCACACTTGAACACCTTATTATGGACAGATAAGTCTAAATTTAGATCCCTATTTTTGAAAATATTGTCTGGCTTTCACAAAGTTTTCTACTTGCAGGAGAACTATAGCGAGGAACCATTGAGGACGAGAAACTGCAATGTCCTCTTGGAAAAAGTGTCATCAAAATAACCCCAGTAAAGGCAGCAGCATCTCTGAATTATTGGAACAGAGTCTGTCTCATCTTACCTGTAGAAACCCAATAGTAAGAGCAATTTAAACTACATTAGTGCAGAGTAAATGAGAGCAAATTATTTTGCTGCATTTCAGCTGATTGGTGTGTGGATCAAATTACGAAAGGAGTTTAAAGGAAGAGTCATGCCGAGTGCTATTTAGTGAACTGTACTTAATCTGCATTTAATTTTTCTCAGCCAGAGGAGAAGAAAAGAACCGGATTTGAAATGCAGTCGTAATTATCACGCTTTGGAAGGCATGTGCTTTTATGGGCATTTGCTTTCGAAAAACAACCCTCTGCAAAACGAGGCTTCTCCCCGACGCAAGGTGCAAGCGCAAGGTGCGGGCGGCAGCGCCGGGGCCTTCCCGAGCTCCCTCCTCCTCCGGCACCGCGCGGCGCTCCTCGTCAGGGCTGAACCCGCAGTGACCAGGGGCTTACGCAGCTCGTCACAGCCCAGTGCCTGGGAACGTTACCTTAACAAGGCCGAGCTAAAAACTGCACTGATTTCAGGCTGTCTGGCTGCATTAAATTATATCACCAGGAGAAAATGCCAAGGATTTAAGTGGCCTTTGGGAGAAAAATGAAGGAGCCAAATGATGTGAAAGAGTCTGATAAAGAGAAGTTTAGAAACAAAATATTTCCATATTTTTTAAGCTGGGACTTGGAAGCTCTGCTGTTTGGCCCATTACATCAGAAGTCCCATTTGCAAGTGCCTCCACCACTGACTTTCTATTTTAATACATTACTGAAACTACATGCACCCCGTGGAATGCAGCAAGCGATGCCCTCATCCTTCACTTCCATCTGTCTCCTGGACCTTTATGGTTTTCCCGAGGCTGCTATTTTAATTGGCAACTGCTTTTGCAACCCATGTTATTCTAACATCGTTGCTGAGAATGCCCAGAGGTGGCAGAACCCTAAGCTAACTCCAAGCTTTTGCCTCTCTATCCCATTTATTTTTTTTCCAGAAGGAGTTTTTACAGAAATCAGCACCGGCCTATTTACATCATTCCGTGTTTCTCCAGGAGACGGTGACGGCGATGGCTCGCGCGCAGGACGTACCGCACGCCGCAGGTTGTGATGCAGCCGTTTCCATCCCAGATGGCAAGCGTGCAAGCAAGCAAAGCCCTGTCAGCTCAGCAAGAGACGCTGTCTTAATCGTGAGCGATGCAGCCGCACTAATCCCCTCGCAGCTGACAGCTCCTTGGCCTGGTGACACCGACATCACTTTTTCCCGTGCTATCGGCCGTACCAGCGAGGCCGGGACACAGGTGCTCGCAGGCCCGAGCACCCACTCGAACCACCCCGTGAGGACACAGACTCGAGTCTGTCCTGCGTTAGGAGACCACGAGGCCCTGCAGCACATCCAGGACCCTGCAGCGGTCCGGATGGCAGCTCGGCGCGGTGGCCTCGTCCTGCAGCACGCTGCTCACGTCGGGCTTCAGGAATGCAGGAGCAAACCATGAACTGCAGGAACCGACTGTTCAATTAGGTGCAGAAGCTGGAGCCTCCGGGCTCCCCCGGGCCAGAGCTGCACACTGAAACCCATGGTTATTAAGCAGTCCATGGATCCTAAGAGAGAATTAATTGTCGTGCCAATGCCTAAGCCACGCTGGTTTGTGACATCACTCTTTCGTGCGCTTTGCAAACAGTGTTGGCTCTGGGCAGGTTCCTCTCCTCAGGGGCAGCGAGATCGCAGAGCTGGTGCCAGCCTGGGTAATATGTGACCTTAACCTTTCTCATCTTAAAATAATTTGTCTTTAGAAACAGAATTTATAAAAAGCTTTAAGATAACAGAAGATTCAAACTTTGCCCTTACATTTTCTTCTGACTTCACTCTTTCTGGCAGTTGAACTGGTAGTTTGGTTAGCCTCACTACTCTGCTCTGTACCCACCTTCCACATCCAGCTTATTCTAGAGGTGACACACAAATCTGGCCTTCCTCAAAATGCAGCCACTCAAAGTGAAGCTAGAAAACTCTTGGCGTCTTCTAAGAAAGCTAACTTGGCAAGAAATGCCCACAGGAGAGATCTGGATAAGATGCTACCATGTATTTATGTGGCACTTGTTACTCGTGACTTAAAAATCCTCCAGCAGCAGAAGAGCAGTTGCAGAACAGCACTTCCCATAAACTGCATAACTCTAAGAAAAGGGGTTAGAAAGAAAGGGAAGGAGGGGAGAAGGAAAAGGTGAAGAGGCTCCTGAAGCCATGGAGTCAGTGGGAGAGCGGCGTTCCTGGGCTCCCAGGGCTCCTGACTCATTCCCAAGGCGCGAGAGCAGGGGCCTGTGGCATCTGAACTCCGCATTCTTATCCCATCAAACCCTCTGGAATTTGCCCTGCAGAAGTGCCATCTTAGCAGTGGCTCGTGGGAGAGTCCTTAAATAGGCCAAGCTTCTTCTTTATCAAGTTAAGGCTGCATTTTATATATGTATCTCGATTATGATTACTCCTTCCAAACATTCAGCCCTTTCAGTTTGGAAAGTTCACCCGCTGAACAAAGCAGACAGGTACAAGCACCTGTATCAGGCCTTCCCTGCCCCTTCTAAACCACCCATACCCCCTTCTGCCTCGAGTTCTGCAGGCCAGCTACAAAATCAGCTTGTCGAGGAAATGATTAAGGCAGGGTATGTTAATACCTGTAAATGGGGTCCATGAAGAAGGGTGATGGCTTGGCGTAATGCAGGGATGGCTGCTGAGGCAGCTGGGACTGAGAAATCTTGGGCAGGACTTCGTTGGCCATCAGTTTCCTCTCCCCGTAGATGTGGTTTTTCCGGGGCTCCCTTCCTCCGTTCTGGCTGGCTCGGATGCGGTTGCCGATGCTCAGATCCAGCGGCTGCTCCTCCCCGGAGGCCGGGGCTGGCAGGACCTTGGGTGGCGGCAAGATGGGCTTAATCTCTTTTGGCTTTGTGGTGAGATCGAAGGGGGACTCTGAGCTGGTGCTGCCTACTTTGTGGAGGTCCCTGGGTGACTTTGGTTCGGCCTTGACCAGCAAGTTGTGATTGAGGGTCCGCTCCGTAAACGGATAGAGGGAATGGGGAAAATTGGGGAGGAACTGAAATGGGAACATGGAATGATAGGGGAGCGAACCCATCTTCTTCTCCTGCATCCCCATAAAGCCAGGCCCAAAATACTTCTCTGCGATGGAGGCAATGGCTTTGATGGAGTCGTTGGCTGCGCCCGCGGGCAGCAGGTGCTCCTCGGGCGGAGGGAAGAAGGAGTGCTGGGAGTAGAAGAGAGGGATCTCGCTGGCGCTGTTGGTGGAACTCGCGGACACGGCGCTGCTCACAAAATCCGGCTTGCTCTCCATCTGCTTGCTCTTCTCTTTTGCTTTGTCCCTGTCACTCTCTGCGTCACTGTCCAGGTCAGAGCCGGTGCCCGTAGTGGTATCCAGATCTGTGCCCGTGGTTGTATTGACGTCCTCAAAGTCACTGCCATCCGACATGTCACTGTTCCTGGCTTTTAGCTTCTCCAGGTAGGAGTTTTCCAGGCTGCTTTCGCACTTCTCCTCTCCTGGAGCAGCCTGGTTGCTGTTGCTCACTGCGGAAATCAGAGGAAGCGCCGGGTTCCCAAGGGGGCTCGGGAGCTTTGCGTCTTGAGTGTGGTTGAGGGGACTTTTGAGCAGCTGCGTTGGCGGTAACAAGGGGGGCCTGGGGTACAGAGAGGGTGGGAAAATGCCTGGGAATCCTGGAGCGAGGGCAGGGAACGCCGGGGGAGCGGGGGTGAATGGAAGAGCCCCGGGGTGCGGACGGGACGGGAAGTAATCGTTAAATCCCAGGCTGGCGTGATTGAGGTTGGGAGAGGGCTTGGATTTGTCCATCATGGAGGTGGGCGTCAGGGGCAGGCCAGGGGCAAAAATCCCCCCGGGGTTGTAATGGTTCTTGCCCTCGCAGAAGCGCCGGTGCTTGTTGAGAGAAGAGGTAGTGCTGAACATCTGGCCACAGTCCTTGCATTTGATCTGGGTGCGACAGTCCGCGTGCATCCGCTTGTGGCGGCACAGGTTGGAGAACTGCGTGTAGGATTTGTGACAGACCTCACCTAAAGCATCAACAGAAACCAACAACAAAAGCGATATGAAATTAACAGGAAATTGCACAGAAGCAATGAAGAGCTTCGCCGGGGCCCTTCTCTTGCCCCACTCCTTTCATCCTGCCCCCAGCTCCTCTTTGCCCAAAACACAGAAGGAAAGGAGTAAATTAGCAGTCCAAGCTATTGGTTGGATCAGCTTCCAGCTCCCTCTCCTAGGGACCCCTCAGGGCTCCCGGTGAAGGAGGCAGCGCAGGGGAGCCGCTCCGTGCGCAGGGCGACCCCGGAGCGCGTCGCGATCCCGCTGTGCCGGCCCGGGAAAGGCCGGAGCTCTGCGTGGGACTCGGCAGCGCCGGCCTCGGCCCTGGCCACGTGCAGGAAGGGAAGCAGCAGCCCTGGGAATGCGGGATGAGGATGCTGGAGAGGTGCTTGTGGAGCAGGATGGACAGCCCGGAGCAGCGGGCACCAAGGAATGATGCATTTGGGTCCTGGTGCTGCCCAGCTGGCACGGGCGGCATTCCCAGAAACACCACACATTTCCCTTTCAAATGACCCTCGGGCCAGGGAATCTCTTAACGTGCCACGCTCTATGGTTCGACACAACGTGCTGCTCCTGCTCAAACTACTTCTCTGGCTTTTTAAATAATCGTGCATTTTAATGATAATATCTATTTATATTAGCTAGTCTGCTCTCCCTCTAGTCTCGGCATAGCTGCAGGTTCTGAAGGCTGAAGGGAGAAGAACTCTGCCTCACTTCATCAAATCCCCCCTTTCTTCAATGCCATTAATAGCAAGTAACCACTCCATAGGGATGTTCTATAAATACCTCCGCAGCCAGGGCCCAGCTCAGCTACAAGTGGGGTGAGATTTTGTATTCGTTAAATTAGCAAGACACCTCTGTGTTTAGCTAATGCTCCATCAGCATTTTCTTTAATGACCTCTATATACCAAGCTTTCAAAATGTTACAACCTGTTTCACCTACAGACTTTACAGGCATGGAAGGAGCAGGGAAAAGCAAGAAAAAAAATCCCACCCAAACTTTTCCATAAGTCAAAACACTGTAACTTTTTATTATCTGATGCCTCTTTCAACATAGGAATAAACTCCACTTCTCAACAAATTAACACTTACACTTCTTTCACGGGAGAATTATTGTTATCACCATGGAAAACACGGAAACTGAGACAAAGAGAGGGAAAGTGAATTGTTCGGAGGCAGAGAGCAGAGCTGTGCTCAGCAAGGAGCCAAATCCCAAATCTCCCAACACCAGCCCTGACTCGGTGACGAACTGCTCCTTCCTTCCTTCCTTCCTCTCTTTCTCCCTCCCAGCTTCTATTGATGGGTACATGTAAGCCCGACTTTCTTATCTTTTTATCCCCTACATCTTTAAGATTTACAGCACTATTTAAGCACTAAAGGACAGTCAAGAGACTATTTCCCAGGCAGCTCTGGAAACCTGAGGGGGAAGCCCTTTCTCCTGAAACTCCCAGAGCAGATTAGGAGAGTTTGGCAAACTCGGTGTGCTCGTGTTGCCCGTGTCTCCCAGCGCTGCAGCTGAAGAAGTTACAGCCTCCTCGAGCAGCAAACCCTGCTGAGAAGACAAGCAGAACACAAGCAACGACTTCCCAGGGAACCGGGTTCCTTCTCCACTCCCCATGTCCGCAGGGAGGCTGCAGCTTCCACGTGGATACACGGCACAGGGAACGCAGTTCCCTCGGGAAGCGTTACAGGTAGCCGTGCTCACATCCCCGCTCCAAAGCAAGAGGAACTGGATCTTTCCTTTGTTTAAAACTCCAGTTATGCAAAGACTTAGTAACTCTGTGTGTAACGTCCTCTCCTGCTGTTCTGGGTTCTGCAGATACAAAGACACAGCTCTGGGGTTCTTTGAAACCAGGTATAATAGGTTTTTGAAACCTTTTTTCACCAAACAGGAAAGCACAGCTTTCCAGCACACCATCCTGCCCCCTAAACTGCTAATGGGTTCCATACTAACGCACGTGCGTGCGCGCGGGCCGGAGCGGCCGGGCAGCACCGGCCTCGAGCTGCTTTGCACGCTGATTTAGACTGACAACTCCCTAATTCTTATGAGGTGAGAGTGAGGAGATTATGAGAAGAAATCATTCATTTCACTGCAGCAATACTGTGAGATTCAAATGATCTCTTTCATGTGCCCGTCATCAAATGAAAGATTGCATCAAAATGAGCAATAAGAGTATTTTTTCTTCCTCTGCTGACACCCATCTGATTATCTCAGAACACGTTAATGAAATGAGTCTCCCAGGATACTCTCGCATGCTGTTCCCATTATCCCGACGGGCAAAAGGGGGTTCGGTGGCTTCCCCAGCACAACATCAAAGCCCGGAATCAAACGCAGACCCGGCGCTCTGCTTTAACTGCGCTTTTTGAAGAGTGTCGTGAGCAGTCCCTAAAGTTTCTCCAGCTTTGTTGTGACACAATCCACTTTTCTGCGCAGTTATCAAAACCCGATAGCTGCTGTGTCAATTAAAAAAATATACAGCCTGGGGAATGACAAGAAATGAGATGAAGGGCTCTCCAGGGATAATGCTCATTTGGAAATGCCCACTGGAGAGAGCACTAAGGACACAGCTAATCTGCTATTTATTGGCTTCCAAGCATTATCCAGATGAAACATAGTAGTAAATAAAGAAGAAAAAAACTTCTTCTTAAAAAACACCTTCTTGCACCCTGACTATTCAAAATTCTTTGCAACAGCTCCATGATTTGAGGCACCCCTGAAAAACATTTCGATCAGGCGGTGTCAGCTATTTATTTATGTCACCAACATGAACGTTCAGAAATTATTAAGGAAAAAAAAAGAAGAAGAGGGAAAGAAAAGATATGAGAAAATGGCATCGCTAAGACTGCTGAGAGACTCAGCTTTTAACTTGTCAAGAAAGTCAGAAACTGCCACGAATGTTTACTGAAACAACAGGGAGCATGCAAAAAAAAAAAAAATCGCTGCGGAATTTCATCCTGCGCTCTGACCTATGAAATTAGAGTGGCTGCTCGCAGAGGGACAGCTCGGGCCGGGGGGCCCCGCAGGATACGTGCAATTAGAGCGCGAGCCGGGGCCGGTGATGGCCGTGACAACTTACATATGAAAGGTTTGACAGTGCTGTGAATGTGCTTGTGCTGCTTGAGGCCCGACGAGGTGGCGAAGGTTTTGCCGCAGTCGGGGCAGGCGTGGGCGCGCGCGCCCACGTGCTGCGAGCGGATGTGCCGCTGCAGGTTGCTGGGGTCGGTGAACACCTGCAAGAGAGGACGCCGTGAGGGAGGGCGAGCGCGGAGAGCGCCCGCGAGCCCGGCACGCAGCGTCGCGGTGCGTCCCGTCGCACGCTCGCCGCTCCCGTCCCGGCGCGCTCCCGGGCTCGCTGGGGCGGCCGTCCCCTCGTCGCACCTTCACGCAGTTTTCACATTCGAAGCGCTTCCCGCTGTCGTGGGACATCTGGTGACGGATCAGGTTGGATTTCCAGTTGAAGGCCTTGGGGCACTGGTCGCACTTGTACTCCCGCTCCTCGGTGTGGATCACCATGTGCTGCTCCAAGCTGCGGGAGAGACGCGCTGAGCCCGGGGAGCCGCACACGCAGCCCCAAGGTGACACCTGACTCTGGGGGGTCCCTTCCTCGCGGAACCTGCCGCCTCCACCACAAAACGCCGCGGGTTTTGTGACCTTTCCTACAGCAAACCCGGCTCTAACAAGGGGCGCAGGAGACGCGACGCCGCAGGCTCCGCGGGCACAAGGAGCTCATGGGGGCCACCTCAGAGACACCCTCGCTGCAGCTTAGTGGGCACTACACGCACTCCTGTATGTATATAAATAAATATATTCCTTTCATATATATATACATAAAAATATGTGCCTGTTAACTGTGATTTATGAGTTTATTTAGAGCAAAAATGGACAAACTAATAAGCTGTTTAGAGGCAAGTACCTACTGGGATTAGCAAAACATTTATTTATTTAGTCAGCTGCTAAATGCTCAATCTCAGTTCCCCAGTGGCTCTCTTGATTTGATCTGCATTAACTTCTGAAAAATGGGCCGAGCAGCTCGGGGCTGACTGGGTTTATTCACGCGCTTCCTTCCGGGGTTCTCGGGACCCGGAATGGCAGCGATCGGAGCGCAGGGGGGTTGGCAACCGCCCGGGCAAGGACCCCTGGATCTGCCAGGGCAGAACACGGACCGTGGCCGTTCTGCCCAACGCAAAACGACCAGGCTGGCCCGCGTCTGCTTGCTGAATGTTAAAGGAAACGAAACAGGCCTTACACCGGCATAAAGCCCAAAGCTTTTGCTCTGCCTACGCGCTAGGTGACACAGCATCACCAGTTCTCACGTTTTGATAACAAATCTGGCTTGTCGTGTTTGCTTGTTTGAGGAGTTAACTCAGGGGAGCAAATCGTGATGTGTGAACTCCAGCTTCTGGTAAAAAGATAAAAATCTAGTCCTCACATTGTGGAAAAACCTTGAAAACAGCTCAAATGTTAAAGATGCAGGAGGCAAATAAACAGAGTCCTAAAATGCTTAAAAAAAAAAAACCCAAAAAACAAAAAACCCCAACTCTCTGCATTTTTAAAGCTGGCTCCTGGTACTTGACCGCCAGAGTCTCACAGTGCAAATGAACCAGAAGTCTCAAAGATCTCTGGTAAAGCTGCAATCGACACCACCGCTTTCTACTTGAAAGGCGGAAGCTTTCAGCTAACTCTTAATGGGACAAATAATTCTTCCTTTTAAAAAAAAGTTTAATTCTCATTTTGAGCTGCCTAACAATAACCAAGTAATTATTGAAAATAAAAATATGAGATGAAAGGTATCCTATTTCCTTTTTTAGTTTTTTCGTGGTTCCGTTATAAAAATGCTTGGTGAACGTTTTCACTTTTTCCATGAACATTTTCATTCAGAAATGATATAGAAATATTTGTGATAGAAATCTTAAAAATGCTTCTGTAAGATCAAATGGGAAGTCATGACTGTTGGTATTCAGTATAACAAGGCCTATTTATTACCTATTATTGACTTAAGTGATTGAGAACTACATTAAAAAGAACAAACTCAAGGCAAACATTGACAAAATGCAATACTGCTGTTTTTCCCTCAGAATCAGACACTCAGGAGCTCCAAACTTGCTCGTTCTATCACCTGCCTCTGCCACAGCCCCGAAAACGTGGGGATTTGGGAAACGGAGCATTTTTTGCAAGCTGAACTTGCAGAAGCCCTGTGGTGGACGGCTCTTCCG